TGGTTTTCTTGACAAGCATTTTGGTGTTATAATTTAGAGCGGTAGTGACTACTGTATTTTAGGTATACGTTCCAATGTTTCTCTTAACCTATTGTACCATATTACCTAAATATATATATATATATATATATAATATATATATATATATATATATATATATATATAATATATATATATATATATAATATATGCCGGCCGCATCCCACCGAAGTAGGGTGTCCCAAAAAGAAAAACGAAAGTTTTTTTTTTTTAGTAATGTATACAAGAGAAGGAGTTAGCAGCCCCTTGCTCCCGGTATTTTAGTCTATTCTTACAACACGCATGGCTTACGGAGGAAGAATTCTGTTCCACTTCCCTATGTTCATACTGATTTTCAGTGAGTTGTAACAAAGTTAATTTACACAGATTTTGTTTGGGAAAACACTCGTTGTTACATAAGCAAATCCTGGAAAATTGTACGCAGTGAGTAAGGTAACAACTACCCCTTCACCTGAAGGTTGAGGCGAGCGAGGCCCAAGAGCTGCCGCCCAACCTCTGCACGTCCGTGGACAGTGTGGGTCAGGCGGAGTGTTTCTACCTTATCATTGTGGTACTTGGTGTGAACCAGGAGGACGAGTACATACTAGCTACCAGCACACTAAGTGTTGTGAGGTGCAGCTCTCCTCCTTCACCTCACACCACATGCACTCCACCTCAACCTCATGCAACCCTCCTCATGCACTCCACCTTTTGCGCTCCACCTCATGCACTCCACTTCACGCACTCCACTTCACGCCACAAACACTCCACTACCTCACACCACAAACACTCCACTACCTCACACCACAAACACTCCACTACCTCACACCACAAACACTCTACTACCTCACACTACAAAACACTCCACTACCTCACACTACAAACACTCCACTACCTCACACCACAAACACTCCACTACCTCACACCACAAACACTCCACTACCTCACACCACAAACACTCCACTACCTCACACCACAAACACTCCACTACCTCACACCACAAACACTCCACTACCTCACACCACAAACACTCCACTACCTCACACTACAAACACTCCACTACCTCACACCACAAACACTCCACTACCTCACACTACAAACACTCCACTACCTCACACCACAAACGCTCCACTACCTCACACTACAAACACTCCACTACCTCACACCACAAACACTCCACTACCTCACACCACAAACACTCCACTACCTCACACCACAAACACTCCACTACCTCACACCACAAACACTCCACTACCTCACACCACAAACACTCCACTACCTCACACCACAAACGCTCCCCACCTCACACCACAAACACTCCACTACCTCACACTACAAACACTCGCTACCTCACACCACAAACACTCCACTAACCAACATCACACCCAACAAACACTCCACTACCTCACACCACAAACACTACCTCACCATACCTCCACACTACAACAAAAACTCCACTACCTCACACACAACAATCACTCCCACCTACTACACCACTACAAACAACTCCAACCCCAACCTCAACACTACAACACACTCCCCACTACCTCACACCACAAACACTCCACTACCTCACACCACAAACACTCCACTACCTCAACCAACCCCTACTCACACTACAAACACTCCACTACCTCACACCACAAACACTCCACTACCTCACACCACAAACACCCACTCCTCACACTACAAACACTCACTACTCACACACAAACACTCCACTACCTCACACCACAAACACTCCACTACCTCCACACTACAAAACACTCCACTACCTCACACCACAAACACTCCACTACCTCACACTACACACTCCCACACCACACACAAACACTCCACTACCTCACACCACAAACACTCCACTACCTCACACTACAAACACTCCACTACCTCACACCACAAACACTCCACTACCTCACACTACAAACACTCCACACCTCACACCACAAACACTCCACTACCTCACACTACAAACACTCCACTACCTCACACCACAAACACTCCCCTCCACCTCACACCACAAACACTCCACTACCTAACACACAAACACTCCTCCACCTCACACCACAAACACTCCACTACCTCACACTACAAACACTCCTCCACCCACCACAAACACCCTCCACTCAACACAAACACCTCCACACCTCACCTACAAACACTCCTCCACCTCACACCACAAACACTCCTCCACCTCACACCACAAACACTCCACCTACCTCACACTCCCACAAACACTCCTCCACCTCACACCACAAACACTCCTCCACCTCACACCACAAACACTCCACTACCTCACACCACAAACACTCCTCCACCTCACACCACAAACACTCTACCTCCACCTCACCCACCAACACAAACACTCCACTACCTCACACCACAAACACTCCTCCACCTCACACCACAAACACTCCACTACCTCACACCACAAACACTCCTCCACCTCACACCACAAACACTCCTCACCTCACACCACAAACACTCCTCCACCTCACACCACAAACACTCCACTACCTCACACCACAAACACTCCTACCCCTCACACCACAAACACTCCTCCACCTCACACCACAAACACTCCTCCACCTCACACCACAAACACTCCACTACCTCACACCACAAACACTCCTCCACCTCACACCACAAACACTCCTCCACCTCACACCACAAACACTCCACTACCTCACACCACAAACACCTCCACCTCACACCACAAACACTCCCTACCTCACACCACAAACTCCACTACCTCACACCACAAATACATCCTACCACAAACACTCCACTACCTCACACCACAAACACTCCTCCACCTCACACCACAAACACTCCTCCAACCTCACACCACAAACACTCCACTACCTCACACCACAAACACTCCCTCCACCTCACACCACAAACACTCCACTACCTCACACCACAAACTCTCCACCTCACACCACAAACACTCCTCCACCTCACACCACAAACACTCCACACCTCACACCACAAACTCCACTACCTCACACCACAAACACTCCACTACCTCACACCACAAACACTCCACTACCTCACACCACAAACACTCCACTACCTCACACTACAAACACTCCACACCTCACACTACAAACACTCCACTACCTCACACACAAACATCCACTACCTCACACCACAAACACTCATACCTCACACATCAAACACTGCAGCTAGCCTGCATACTCAAACACACCATGTCCTCAACGTCATACACACAGGTGCCAGCTACCTACACCACAAACACTCCACACCTGCATCACGCCTGCAAACACGTTATACTCACACCTGCAAACGATCGGTCATCACACCACAGTGTGGCCTGCATACGCTTATACCACACTTGTGGCCTGCATACTGCGTTATACACACAGTTGGCCTCATACGTGCGGGTTATCACAACAGTGTGCCTTGCATACGGCGGTTATACACAAAATGTGTGGCTGCATTACGTGCGGTTATACACATGTGGCCTGCATACTCGGTTATACACAGTTGCCTGATATGGGGTTACACACAGTGTGGCCTGCATACGTGCGGGTTATACACACTGTGTGGCCTGCATACGTGCGGGTTATACACACAGTGTGGCCTGCATACGTGCGGGTTATACACAGTGTGTGGCCTGCATACGTGCGGGTTATACACACTGTGTGGCCTGCATACGTGCGGGTTATACACACTGTGTGGCCTGCATACGTGCGGGTTATACACACTGTGTGGCCTGCATACGTGCGGGTTATACACACTGTGTGGCCTGCATACGTGCGGGTTATACACACTGTGTGGCCTACATACGTGCGGGTTATACACACAGTGTGGCCTACATACGTGCGGGTTATACACAGTGTGTGGCCTACATACGTGCGGTTATACACAACTGTGTGGCCTACATACGTGCGGGTTATACACAGTGTGGCCTACATACGTGCGGGTTATACACACTGTGGCCTACATACGTGCGGGTTATACACACAGTGTGGCCTACATACGTGCGGGTTATACACAGTGTGTGGCCTACATACGTGCGGGTTATACACACTGTGTGGCCTACATACGTGCGGTTTATACACACAGCGTGACCTACATACGTGCGGGTTATACTGTGGCCTACATACGTGCGGGTTATACACAGCGTGGCCTACATACGCGCGGGTTATACACAGCGTGGCCTACATACGTGCGGGTTATACACACGTGTGGCCTACATACGTGCGGGTTATACACACTGTGGCCTACATACGTGCGGGTTATACACAGCGTGGCCTACATACGTGCGGGTTATACACACTGTGGCCTACATACGTGCGGGTTATACACAGTGTGGCCTACATACGTGCGGGTTATACACACGTGTGGCCTACATACGTGCGGGTTATACACACAGTGGCCTACATACGTGCGGTTATACTACATGCTACTTAATGCGGTTACAACCTTGTCGGGAATTACACACACATCGGACGATCACACACATACTAACACACATCACATACGTGCGGGACACCACACAGGTAATAGTGTTATTCAGTGCCTAATACTGCGGGAACACTGTATACTATGAAGTGACGGATCTCGTGATGGCCACACAACACACACTTCCACAAATAACTTCTTTTGACAACGTATCGCTCTACATAGTCTGTTATCATGTTAATAGTTGTTTTCTAGACTGTAATATCGGGTTTACAACATGTGTGATACTTGCACATACGTTCCTTGATTCACTTTCATACATGATTAAAAATCACTATAACATCGTGCTATAATAAAGGTTGATCGTTGGCATTACACAGCTACAGGTTTGTGTATGACACCTGGGTGACCTGAGTTCGCCCACTGGAAACCTCGTTTAGAAAGTCCATTAAACAGCAACCATCCCCAGAATGATACTAATCCTTGTTAAAAGTTTTGCACTCTGGTAAGATTGCTGCCCTCTCTTATGTTGTGTTTTTTTTCCTTTGCAGTGTTGAACGAATTGGATGGTTTGTCTCGTGACGCTGCGGTGGCCAAGTACGGTTCCGTGGGGCACGCGGTGCGGGTGCGGGAAGGTGCGGCAGCCGCACTCCACTACCTGCGGGACACCAAGCCACACTCACTCAAGTGTGTCACATCCCAGGGATCAGTGCTCTCCTCAACCACCTTCACTGCAGAGATAGACATGCCGGTCAGTGCCACTCACATCACCCTCCTCTTTCTACTTCCCCTCTGCTCCTCTCTTCTCTTCTGCTAATTTTCCTTTTCATTTGCTTCTTCCTCCTCCTCCAGGATGGAACTAACTAGAGGATCATTCTTGGTTCCTCATCATTGATTTCACATAGTCATTTAGTGCTTGCTATCTTTGTTAATTCTCTCACCTGTATTACTTTTGTTAATTCTTCCCTCGCCTCTGTTACTTTTATTAATTAGTCTCTTATCTGTGCTAATCTTGTCACAGACCGGGCCGCGGGGGCGTTGACCCCCGGAACTCTCTCCAGGTATTCCCTCACCTGTGCTACTTCTGTTATTGTTCTTTCACATAAGTTACTTTCGGTAATTCTTCTCCCACTTATGCCACTTTTGTTCCTCTTCTCTGAGCTGTGCTTGTTATTCCATTAGTTTTTTGGTTGTATGTGTGTTTAGTTCATAACAGTGTGTTTATTCGTGTCTGTATCATGTGGATGGCTTATCTGCGGTATCTGTGCATTTCCCCGCTAGCTGAAAAGTGCGTCAAATACAGTATTTGTGTAAGTGTGACCCTCCGCCTGCGGTATTTACACGAACGTTGTAGCTTCTCTGTCTTTATTCTTTACTGCTTCACATTTCTGTTCAGTTCTGTAGCATTCCAGATTTAAAGTTCTAGTGGAGTCGTTTTCTTTTTTCTTTTTGTCAAAAAAGACACGAGTATGTAGAATAAGAATTTTTTAAATAAACGTTCTCTACAAGCAGAGCTTTTAAAGATCTGATTCCTCTGACGCATGCGTCGTGTATTGCTTAGGTTAGGCACATGTAGAACTAGTGCTCAGAGGCTGCATTACACAACTTTACATGAGGTCTCTCCTGGAACAAGGCATTAGTGACCTGAAGAAAGTAGCATCACATGATATTGAAGAAGTTCTCTCCTGGAACAAGGCATTAGTGACGTGAAGGAAGCATCACACGGTAATGCAAGAGAGCTCCTCTCCGGGATGGAGACATAGCTGGCCGATAGGTAACTGAGAATAGAGAGCATTCACCAACGGCGTCCCAGGGGGTCAATGTTGGGCTCATTGTTCAACATCTATGTAAACAACATCGATAGGAAAATAAACAGTGGCGTAAGTTAGATGACAATACAAAAATAAACCGACAAATCATTTATGAGAACAGCAGGGAGCTTTAGGATGATTTAGATAGGCTATTGTTGCAGTAGATGTAGTTCAGTGTTGATTACCTTCCCCATCACTAGCACAACAACTACCAGCCCTGCACCACAACTCTCCACCTACATCCCAACCCTCCCCACAAGCACAACTACCAGCCCTGCACCCCAACCCTCCCCACAAGCACAACTACTACCAGCCCTGCACCACAACTCTCCACCTACATCCCAACCCTCCCCACAAGCACAACAACTACCAGCCCTGCACCACAACTCTCCACCTACATCCCAACCCTCCCCACAAGCACAACAACTACCAGCCCTGCACCACAACTCTCCACCTACATCCTAACCTCCCCACAAGCACAACAACTACCAGCCCTGCACCACAACTCTCCACCTACATCCCAACCCTCCCCACAAGCACAACAACTACCAGCCCTGCACCACAACTCTCCACCTACATCCCAACCCTCCCCACAAGCACAACAACTACCAGCCCTGCACCACAACTCTCCACCTACATCCCAACCCTCCCCACAAGCACAACAACTACCAGCCCTGCACTACAACTCTCCACCTACATCCCAACCCTCCCCACAAGCACAGCAACTACCAGCCCTGCACCACAACTCTCCACCTACATCCCAACCCTCCCCACAAGCACAACAACTACCAGCCCTGACCACAACTCTCCACCTACATCCCAACCCTCCCCACAAGCACAACAACTACCAGCCCTGCACCACAACTCTCCACCTACATCCCAACCCTCCCCCCAAGCACAACAACTACCAGCCCTGCACCACAACCTCCACCTACATCCCAACCCTCCCCACAAGACACAACTACCAGCCCTCCACACCCCAACCCTCCCCACAAGCAACAACTACTACCAGCCCTGCACCACAACTCTCCACCTACATCCCAACCCTCCCCACAAGCACACAACTACCAGCCCTGCACCACAACTCTCCACCTACATCCCAACCCTCCCCACAAGCACAGCAACTACCAGCCCTGCACCACAACTCTCCACCTACATCCTAACCCTCCCCACAAGCACAACAACTACCAGCCCTGCACCACAACTCTCCACCTACATCCCAACCCTCCCCACAAGCACAACAACTACCAGCCCTGCACCACAACTCTCCACCTACATCCCAACCCTCCCCACAAGCACAACAACTACCAGCCCTGCACCACAACTCTCCACCTACATCCAACCCTCCCCACAAGCACAACAACTACCAGCCCTGCACCACAACTCTCCACCTACATCCCAACCCTCCCCACAAGCACACAACTACCAGCCCTGCACCACAACTCTCCACCTACATCCCAACCCTCCCCACAAGCACAACAACTACCACCTGCACCACAACTCTCCACCTACATCCCAACCCTCCCCACAAGCACAACAACTACCAGCCCTGCACCACACCTCCACCACATCCCCAACCCTCCACAAGCACAACAACTACCAGCCCTGCACCACAACTCTCCCCTACATCCCAACCTTCCCCACAAGCACAACAACTACCAGCCCTGCACCACAACTCTCCACCTGACATCCCAACCCTCCCCACAAGCACCAACTACCAGCCTGCTCCACAACTCTCCACCCTACATCCCAACCCTCCCCACAAGCACAACAACTACCGCCCTGCACCACAACTCTGCACCTACATCCCTAACCCTCCCAAAGCACACAGTAAACTTCAGCCCTGCACCACAACTGTCACTTACTACATCCCAAACCTCCCACAAGACAACAACTACAGCCCTGCACCCACAACTCTCCACCTACATGCCCAACCCTCCCCCAAGCACAACAACTACCACCCTGCACCACAAATTCAACACTACATACCCAACCCTCCCCACAAGCATAAAAACTACCAGCACTGCACCACAACTCTCCACCTGTTCGCCAACCCTCCACTAAGCACCACAACTACCAGCCCTGCACCACAACTCTTACCGACCTGATCCCAAACCCTCCCCACTTAGCATCACAACTACCGACCTGGCAGCAAGACCCTCCACCTGGGCAATTCCAACCTCCACTAGCACCACAACTACCAGCCCTGCACCAAACCCTCCCCACTAGCACCACAAACCAGCCCTGCACCACAACCCTCCTGCATCCCAACCTCCCCACTAGCACCACAACTACCACCCCTTACCACAACCCCACCTGCATCCCAACTCTCCCACTAGACCACACATGCTGTACCACCCGCCATATATAGTAGTACACAGAAACCCACAATAGTTTTCAGAGATCACAAAGCGCGTCGTGTCCTGCCACTGGGCAACCAAGCACCTACACTCTTCGTATGTCTACTTAATGTCACACAGTTATTTAAATGTCAGTTTTCATCAAGAATAAGAGCAGATCGACTTATTACTTATGTTTACGTAGATTCCGGGATAACTAGGCCGCCCAGTCGGTTCCATGATGTCTGGATCATAAGCTTAGCAACCTCACTCAGTCCACTTATCACACTTATATCCATCACGAGTTAATTTAAAACTTACTAAGTACCTTTAACATCTAAGATGGTAATTTAATAGAAAACACTATTCCCATGTCACCTGTCAAATGTAAACTGGTATAGGCCAACTCAACAAAATGAACACCTGAGTTTGATGACGCTGTGATCGTTCACTGTGTTGTTCAAGCCTTAGTCCTGAGAAGGTACTCCTTGAGTCTATGCTGAGGAAGTTACTTCTGAAACTTGCTAAAGGTACTCTTGAGACATCTAGGAAGTACTTTTTGAGTTTAATGGAGAAGGACTTTCCTAGTCGCAGGGAAGGTCACCTTAGTCTGCTGGAGGGAAGGTACTGTCTTAGTCTTGTGATAAGGCTTCCTTAGTCTTCAAGCAGGGAAGGTAACTTCCTGAGTCTTTGCTGAACGGTACCCTAGTTTGCTGAAGTACTTCACTGTGAGTTCTTCTAAAGAACTATCCTTGAGTCTGCTGGAGGGGGACTAGTCTTGCTGGAGGGAAGGTACTTCCTTGAGTCTTGCTGGAGGGAAGGTACTTCCTTGAGTCTTGCTGGGAGGGAAGGTACTTCCTTGAGTCTTGCTGGAGGGAAGGTACTTCCTTGAGTCTTGCTGGAGGGAAGGTACTTCCTTGAGTCTTGCTGGGAGGGAAGGTACTTCCTTGAGTCTTGCTGGAGGGAAGGTACTTCCTTGAGTCTTGCTGGGAGGGAAGGTACTTCCTTGAGTCTTGCTGGGAGGGAAGGTACTTCCTTGAGTCTTGCTGGGAGGGAAGGTACTTCCTTGAGTCTTGCTGGGAGGGAAGGTACTTCCTTGAGTCTTGCTGGAGGGAAGGTACTTCCTTGAGTCTTGCTGGGAGGGAAGGTACTTCCTTGAGTCTTGCTGGGAGGGAAGGTACTTCCTTGAGTCTTGTGGGAGGGAAGGTACTTCCTTGAGTCTTGCTGGAGGGAAGGTACTTCCTTGAGTCTTGCTGGAGGGAAGGTACTTCCTTGAGTCTTGCTGGAGGGAAGGTACTTCCTTGAGTCTTGCTGGAGGGAAGGTACTTCCTTGAGTCTTGCTGGAGGGAAGGTACTTCCTTGAGTCTTGCTGGAGGGAAGGTACTTCCTTGAGTCTTGCTGGAGGGAAGGTACTTCCTTGAGTCTTGCTGGAGGGAAGGTACTTCCTTGAGTCTTGCTGGAGGGAAGGTACTTCCTTGAGTCTTGCTGGAGGGAAGGTACTTCCTTGAGTCTTGCTGGAGGGAAGGTACTTCCTTGAGTCTTGCTGGAGGGAAGGTACTTCCTTGAGTCTTGCTGGGAGGGAAGGTACTTCCTTGAGTCTT